GATTATTGCTTCATTATATACGTTTAATTTATTTAATGTTAAAAATGGTTCGAAATTATAAAAAAAAGAGAGTGACTGAAGTCATAGAGGAAGATGTCAATAATGTTGTTCTCCAAGTTGCAAATAAATTAATGAAAAATAAAATGTAAGGCGGACTTGTAAACGACGCACCTCTCTGAAATACTAATAATCGTGACCACATCTGTCCCAATTCTTTCGGTCAATTAATAAACTTATATTTCGTTGTATCAATCTCTAATGGTTAGTCAAAGCATTTACATTTAATTCTATTCATTAGTTATGATCAATTAGTGTAATTGCATTTTAATTAATTTAATTGATGAATTTTACTAGGTCAGTAAAATATCATTTTCGATAAAACGTGTTTTAAATTTAGGGGGTGCGCCGTTTACAAGTCCGCCAAACGTGATACTTTACATTACAGAATAAAGAAGTATAAAAATTCATTATCCAATGCCAAGTTAGGTTTGACAAGTAAATATACAGTCGCACAAGTATTTAATGAAGACGAGGAAATAATGTTGAAAGACTATCTAATAAAAAGCTCTAAAATGAACTATGGGTTGACATATAAACAAGCACAGGGATTAGCATTTCATTATGCAATGAAACTTTGCAATTGTCCAAGTAAATGGATGGAAAATAAACAAGCTGGTATAGAGTGGTTGAAAGGCTTCATGAAACGCCACCAAGAACTTTCACTTCGAAAACCTGAAAATACGAGTTTGTCTCGCTCAACAAGTTTTAATGAGCACAATGTAAATCAGTTTTTTGATAACTATGAAAAAGTATTAAAAAAACATCATTTCACTCCTAATAGAATTTATAATATCAATGAAACCAACATAATGACAGTAATACAAGCACCCCATGTTATAGCATCACGTGGAACAAAAAAAGTTGGGCAGTGTGTATCTGCTGAACGTGGACAACCAATTACTATGTGTGGTATAGGAAATGCCATAGGAAATTTCATTCCACCTGTCTTCATATTTCCAAGAGCACGGTTTTATGACACCAAGTTAAAAGGAGGACCTCCTGGTTGTATTGGTTATGCAAACAGTCCAAAAAGTGGCTGGATGACAAGGCCGCTGTTTTTAAAGGTTCAAGAACATATAAAAAACTAGTTAGATGTTCGAAAAGGATCCTGTTTTACTCTTAATTGATAATTATGAAAGCCATTGTACATTAGATGCCATTAATTGTTGTTTTGAAAATGGAATCGTGGTTTTAACATTTCCTCCTCACTGCAATCACAGAATGCAACCTTTGGATGTGGCTGTTAATGGTCCTTTCAAGCAAAAGCTGTCTATTTCTCAGAACGACTGGCTTGTATGCAATCCGGGGAAAACAATAACAACACACAATTTAGTTGGCATAGTGACACCAGCATATAATACTACATGTATTGCCAGGAATATTGTTGCAGGTTTTTCTACACCTGGAATATATCCTTTTTCACGCCTTGCTTTCTGCAATGACAACTTTCAAAGTACTGAAGTGACTAATCGTCCATTGACAGAAACATTCAGTAAAGCTACTTCTGATAATTCACATCAAATTTTAAATAAACCTGAAGACATAGTTATGCAAAAAGAAGATTTTAAAGTGGATTATAAGAACTACGAGCAAACAAGTATAAGTAATGCCTTACAATCACAGCACACAATAACACCTGAATCTTTAAGACCATATCCAAAAGCTCTACCTCGTAAAAAAACTAATAAAGGCAGAAAAAGTGGGAAATCTAAGATTCTTACTGACACCCCAGAAAGAGAAGAAATAAAAAAATCTTATTTTTTACGCAAGACAAAACTTCAAATCTCATTAGGAATTTCAAAACAAAAAACATCCAAAATTTTGATTTCTGAAAGTTCAAATTTCGCTGCTTGTAACGATGCTTTTAAAATTTAATGAAATTTAAATTCTCCTAATATTTGAAAGTTTCCCGATAAAATATAACTTTTGTTTGACCAACTCTTTAGAGTGATTATAAGATTAGATAGTATAGAAAATATATTTGATTCTTGCTTTTTGAAACTTAAACTTAATGAAGTTTAATAATAAATCAATGCTCTATTTAAAAAAAAGTAAACTAGTCACTAGTTTATTTCCGTTTGCCATAAAAAATTCAAATCTGCCCGATGCAAATTAAAAGCTGCCCCAGGTTGGGGCAGATTTGAACATTTTCGCGCACCTTGCTAGAACGAGAATACTGACTTAATTTTTAACTTACAGTTTATACAAATGAAGCAATTTTTTTCCTTAATGATTAGTTTAACAGTTTAGAATAAAAAAAGTTTTTAAAATAATTTTTTTTTGGATTTATAATAAAAAGAGTAAAAAGTGTTCAAAAGTGACCCCCTCTCCCCAATATAGTTTTTTTTTGTTATTTTAGGTGCCTAAAGAAGTCCTAAAGGTTTTGCCACAGAGCACCGCGGAAGTACATTTTACCAGAAAGTTCACGCCTCCTTCCTTACTGTGACGCGAAATATGTCCAAAGCCTGGATCTCCTGCTTATTAAGCAAGCGCTCTAACCACATCGCCACGGCCGCACAATTATTAGGAAAAAATAGTACGGAAAGGTTGCCAAAAAATTTAAAATTAAAAAAGATTAGCTTCGCATAAAATAGGACTTCATTTAAACTATCAAAGGTTGAAAAACTTTGAAAGTTTTAACTTTTTAGCCAGCTTCTTTATTCATATTTGCAATGCCAGCATTTATTTAAGTTTTTACTATAAAGAAAGGAGTTATGGAAACAATTAACAGACAGACTACATCAAGTCAGACTACAGGCACACTACACTTATATATATATATATATGTATATATATATATATATATATATATATATATATATATATATATATATATATATATATATATATATATATATATGTATGTGTGTATATATATATATATATATATATATATATATATATATATATATATATATATATATATATATATATATATATATATATATATGTGTGTATATATATATATATATACATATATATATATATATATATATATATATATATATATATATATATATATATATATATATATATATATATATATATATATATATATATATATATATATATATATATATACAATTGCAATACTTTTGTTGGCTTTTATTTAATGTTTAAAAACGGCAAACAAAGTATAAAGTATTTTTCATTAAAAAGAAGATTGTTTTGAATAAATTTTAAAAATGACAAAGCGAAAATATACAAGTTTAGCTGTCAAAGACTTTGTTCAATTGCACGCGGTATTGCGTGCAATTGAACAAAGCATAACTGCAAGAGACATAGCGGATCAGTTTTATATAGGAAAATCAACAGCAGCAGATATATATAAAAGATATAAGGAAAGAAATAACAATAGAATCTCTCTAAAATCAGGAAGGCCTTGAATTACATCTGAAAGACAAGATAAAATTTTAGTTCGTGCCGCAAAAAATGATCCACGCAAAAATGCTGTCTTGTTAAATGCTGAAATGAAAGAATTTTATAATGTAAAATGTAGTGTTGACACAACCAAGCGTCGTTTGAGGTCTTCAAATCTATTTGGAAGACGTCCTGCAAAGAAACTTTTTATTTGCACGAAGAAGCGTAAACATTCTGGTTAAATGCACTTCCGCGGCGCTCTGTGACAAGACCGTTAGAGCTTCTTGGGGCACCTAAAAAACAAAAAAACAAAAAAAAAACAACAGCAACATTTGTGTTATGCTATCACATGCTAAAGACAAAATGCCTCGAGGATGGATATTTCAGCAGGACAATGACCCAAAGCACACTGCAACCCTTGCGAAAGACCTTTTCAAGATCAAAAAAATTCGATTAATGGCCTTCGCAAAGTCCTAACTTTAATCCTATTGAACATCTATGGGAACACCTTGATCGACAAATTTCAGGTTGTGAACCAACAAATAAACGTGATTTATTTAAAAATCTGAAACAAGCATCGGAAAAAATCGACAATAATGTGATTGTGAAGCTGGTGGACTCAATGCCTTGTCGCTGTCAAGCAGTAATCAATGCCAAGAGTTTTCCGACAAAGTATTAAAGAAATTTACTTTAAATTTCTTTAAAAAAAAAACTTCTTCAAGTATTTTTTTCTGCCCGGATACTTTTGCACGCGCATATTTCAATAAAATAAACTTTTAAGATTATATTGCTTAGATTTAGTAAAAACTCATTTGTTTTTAGAATTGTTATCAATTTTTTGACATTGCAGTAAAAATTTGAAAGAAATTCTCAAGTTATGCGCTTGTCCGGTTACTTTTGCACGCTACTATTTTTACACGCTAAAATCGGTCTTATATAAGTAGTGTAGGCTTTAACGATAACAGATATATTCAAAAAAACGATTAATTTACGAACACCATGATTTTTGTTGTGATTACTACTTAATAGTTGGAACATTTGTTAAAAACTTATCCAGACAGCTTTAAGAGAGTAATTCAATTTGATTACAGCCAGGGCCCGCGCGAGTAGGTGTCACGTGGGGGGGGGGGGGAGGTGCCATTACAACTTTTGCCGACTAAAAAAAAAAAAAAGTTTCTCGTTTTTTAAAATTTGCCGACTGCCCTCCGACTGCCATAACGACAATTGCCGACTGACTGTCTAAACTGATTACAGCTTACAAAGGTTACAAACTACATTTCAAAAATTTCATTTTTCAACGCAAAGACACTATTTTGACTTTCTGCTGGAATAATTATACAATGAAGACAGTACTACGATTTAAAACAGTATTCGGTTACGTTCTGTCTCCATTCTATTATAGCTCCTTAGTTATTCGTTTAATTATAGTATTAAAATAACTCCTACTTTTAAAAATATATATTGGCATATTTATTGTTTTTTATTTATAAAATATTGTTCATATTATAAAATATACATAAAATTAAATGTTTAAAATAAGTACGTTTATTTATCTAAACATTATAAAGTTTATTAAAAACCTGAGTATCCTGTTTTGCAAAAACACTTGTGACTGCCAATCGTATTAACACAATATCCTTTAACACTGTCACATGTTGGATTTGTTGGAGGAATAGACAGTGCACATTCATTAATGTCCTCACAGTAAAAACCATCTCCTTGAAAACCTAATTAGATATATCATGAATACAATTATTACTTTATTCAAATATAACAAGCAAACAATTTGTATAGTTTTTATCCCTAAATTAAAGATAAGATTAGATTGTTTAGAGTAATTTAGAATCTAATTTTATTACATCAATTAAAAACAATTAAAAACTGACAAGAGCAACAAACTGACAACTACCTACAATCAGTTGTAGTAATTTTAATTAAATATATAAAATAAATGGCGGATTTTAAAACGACGCACCATTGACTCGTTTAAATAAATAATATTTTCGTTTTATTGCTGAAAAGTTATTTTTCAATGGTTAAATAATTAAATTAGACTTAAATGCATTTTCAACTTTCTTACAACAACTGAAAGCAAAACGATTGATAAATAAATAATAAACGAGTTTCGGGAGCGCCATTTTAATTCATGGAAGTTAAAAAGCTCTTTGCGAGACAATCTACCTTCTTAAATTCCAACAAATCAATAGACTCCGATATTTTAGAAATTATTGATGGCAACATTGACACAGTTAAAAAATATGAGTTTCTGATCTCTCGTTATGAAAGTCCTGCTGCAAGAAATTTTTTTTGTAAGTTTCGTAAACAGTTTAAATTTATTTTGTAAAGGCTAGTAAGATTGTGTAACAGTAGGTATAGTAGTATAACGGTAGGTATCTTTGCTATAGAGGTTTAATAAGTAAATATTTATTTTTTTATTTTAGATGCATTTTAGCTTAATTTAATTACATTTGCTAAAGAAAGTTGGTGGAACAGAGCTGGTAAAACCACTGCATATATTATATCGCGACGTTACTAATTTTGATTTTGATGTCAAAAATAAACATGGATGGTACAGAAAATTTTGGAAAACTTCGATTCAGAAAATCCTCTATATGTAAAGTTGTTCTGTGTAATTCCAATTTTGATTTATGAATGTACATACAAAATGCTAACTGTTTTACCCTAGTTTTTTGCGGTTACAAATCAGGTTACGAAATCAGACAATACTAATGTAGAAGATGATGTTGCTCAAGAACGTGTGCATGATAAACAAGTGGTAGACAGTATGCTAGAAAGATAAATAATAATGTATTAAACAGAGAAAACAGTGATCCAAAATATGTTTAGAGTTTATTAATTTTATTAGTAATCTTTAACTTAAACTTTTATTTTCTGCTGAGATTAAATGTAAAAAATATTTGATAGAAATTGTAACCATAAAAATTCCGCTGCAAAAAGCTTGATCATTTTATTTATTTTTTATTATTTGAGCCTAAGCAAGAACAGTGTACGAACAATATTTCTCTAAATCCCCGCACGTTTTATATAAGTTTATATATAGTTTTATAATATAAAAGTATAGTATAAGTAGTATTGTGTAAAAGTTAAAAGTATAAAAAACAATACCAAGTCTTTTATAAATTTCATAAATTATTTATAAATTTTATAAATTTTAACTGTTTTATAACTATATCTTCCTTATAAATTTCAAGACCTATTTAGCTCTTATTACTTATATAAGTTAAAAAGTTGTAACACAATTTTAATTTATACTAGTTTTAAAACTTAAATAAATAGAAATTACGTTAACTAAATCAAAACAACTATTAGACAAGATCTAAAAATTTAATATATTTTTACTTAGACAAAATCTAAACACTTTATATACGTTAAAATGCTTTATATAGACGAAATATAAAATTTATTTTTCTTTAAACGCTTTATATACGTTAAAATGCTTTATATAGACGAAATCTAAATGCTTTTTATACGTATAATAATCCTATAATAGAAGTCTTAAACACATTTAAATATAGACGTTTAATGGATTCATAGTGCAATCCTGTAACTTTCTGGAAATCTTTACTCATGTTTAAAATATTATTTAAAAAAAAAAAGTATACAGGTGAAACTTATATTGTCCGAGGAATTAAAGTTTATTTATCTAGTTACTAAAATAGAAGTTTTTCTGTTCCGTGCGTGATTCCATTTCAAACTTTATTTATTCTTTGTTAACATTACTAATTCTTACTATTTTTTGTTTACAAAATATTTATATTGATTAGAATTAAAGGAGAGTAAATTGGAGATCGCTAGTTTTATTTTTATGAAAATAAAAGTAAAAACATATATGAGTTTCCGTGCGTGATTTTTTGGAAATGCCCAGGAGGAATTTCAAAAGTTAACAAAACTTTCCAAGTGATATAATAAATATATCACTTTAAAATGTACATATATTTTACTAATATACATGCATACTTACATTTATTTTCGGATTTTAAAAAATAATTTCAAAAAATCACCTTTTTTGCACGTGCAATTGTAAGCGAATTGCGTATCCATGCAAGTCGCGTTGAAACTGCATTTGTTTTTATAAATAGCATCAGTGGTTGTGCATTCATTTATTAGATTACATTTAAATGCTGTTGATGTGCCTAATGAACCTTGGTTACAAGTACAGTTGTAGCCAGCAATTGTGTCCGTACATATGGCATTTTGTTTATCGCAGCTATTGAAATCCGAAACCGAACACTCATTTAATGTCTTCTTACCATACAACTCTAATCTTAAATATTTTGCATTTTGATTAAACGGAATAACCCTAATTATTTTAGCTTCGATTCCAGATGAACCAAAAAAGTTGAATGTGACATCATTATTTTTGACGTCGGGAGGAACTCTGAATAGAAAACTAATATTATTGAACTGAAATCTAGCGAGGTTCGTTAAATCATTACCATAATCAATGTAAAATGATGTTAAAATTGCGGAAACTGCAAAATTCCTCGGTCCTTGTGTAGCTATCATACTAACAAAGGCTACAGTTTCTAAGTCAATTTGAAAATAATATGTTTGAAATGTTATAAAAAACCCATTGGTAGATTGATAAAGACGAGCAACTGATGGCTTTATAGATGTGGATAAATTAGATTGAAATTGATCATCCGGAAGAGCTTCAAACTCATAATTAGGAGTTGAGATCTAAAAAAAAAGGTACAATATTTATAAATGATTATAAATTTACAAACAAAATTTTTTTAAAATAAATTGTTAATTTCAAATTGTTAAGTTAATTTTTTAGTGAGACAAAAACGGGTTTTGTCTCACTAGCCCATAAATTTTTGAAATAATGTTAAACATTTCCCATGTTTAACTCCTAAATTGAACTGGGAGTTAAAAAAACTGTAGCAACTGCATCAAAAGTCAGTTTGCCATGATTTGAAATGACTCTATACATACCCTCGATAGTTTATTATATATAAACGCTATTTAAGTGCAATCATTTTATTAACAAAGAGTTCTTACTTATGATTAAAAGTCATCAAGCGAGAACCTGTAGCAAAAACAGAATTTGTGTAGCAAAAACAGAAATTCTGTTAAATTTCCGCTCTCCGTTTATAAAACTTTTTTTAATGGAGTGGATTTTAATAAGTGGATTTTAATAAAGTGGATTTGCAATCATTAAATAAAAACGATAAGTTTTTAATTATAAAGACTAAATTAAATAAGGTCTGTTGGTTTCTTTATTTAGCCTATTATGAAAATAGAGAAATTTGTTTACGTTTATACAAAATTGTTGGTGAAATTGTTATTGCTGTTTAACAAGTTATTGATCATTGATGAATTCAAACGATTTATAAACGTTTTAAATATTTTATTGAGACAAATAGAAGCTAAAATGTTGGATAGAATGTTTACCTAATGCGAGTTTTAAAACGTCTAGCAACACTTTAGTATATGATCTGATTGGCATCAAAACTTCAAAAAGGTTAAACTAAAATAAAATTTTCCGCAATTTTTTTCTCAGATAGATTTTTAGTTCATTCTAAAATTGAAAGGAATTTTCTACTACTTTTTCTTTTTACTTTGAAAGCTAGTACTAGAAATATTATTCTTTGTGACAAGGTGTATGTTACAAAAATGTTATTGTATCAAGAAGTTTTTTGAAAACCAATGATATGAATTTTTTTTCAAAAAGTGTTTTAAATGTTATAATAACTTGTAACACAAGTTGTATGTTTGATGGTCCTAAAATTCTGTTGAAAATCTTGTAAAAACTTGCAAATAAATAAATTCCTAATTTTTATGTGATCAAATTCATTTTGGTCTAGAATCAGTAATAGTCTAGAATCAGAGTCAAATAGCAAAACAAAAGCAATTATTTGTGATAAAAATCTAACATTTTATGAAAAACCTTGGTTAACTAATAATGGAACTCTTTGGTTGCTTGACTTTTGTCCACGTTATCAAAACCACATGAATCAATGGACTTATAAAGCAAAGTTTTTTTCTCTGATAACTCCTACAATGCTCTTCACCATAAAACTTCTAATATTTTGAACGTTAACAAGACTGGCGATTTTATTAAACTTGCTGGCACATAATAGAAAACGTTTAATCTAAAAAGTGTAGGCTTGATGAATTCAGGTTTAATAATGATCAACAAGCTTCCCCAGAGGTCTAAATGATAAACAAAGAAAGTTTGTTTTGGATTTTGAAAGTTTGTTTTGGATTTTTAGCATTATGCATTAAAAAAATCAGAAAATAGGCATATAATATCAACAAATGTCACAAAGCATTTCACAAATTATACATGTGAAGAAATAGTCTTGCTGATTAAAACACTATTAAGAGAAACACTTTTGTTACAAACTCTTTATGTTCGGAAAATTGGTTACATAATTAATTTAAGCAGAACTTCTAAATTTAAGAAAAGTTTTCCACCTGCCACCGCCAACTCAGCACTTAAGGTACGCAAAAATGTTGGTCAATAACAGACGCTACTTTAAATTAGTCTTAATGATTATTTGTGGATGTTCCTATGCTAAGCCAACAATATCTTCGGATATAAGTAGATTGTATGGAAAAATATAGCATGAAAATTCAAATAAATAAAAAAAATAAAGAAATAAAAAAAAATAAAAAGCGATTTGTAATTAGATTTGTTTTTTTTTTCTAAACGCATATCATTGGTAGCTCAGTGGTTTAGTGCGTAGCCATCAATGTTGTTTCGGGGGGTTTAAGACCTCCGCTTAGCGTAATAAATTTTGAAAGTTTTTTAATCTTGCTTATATATTTATAGCAAAAAAAAAAAAATAACAATATAGCAAAAAGGATTTCTAACTGTTAAAATAAAGTTATAAAGTTTTCTCATTTGATAGATATAATGTATACGATTGTTCCATATACTGCAAACCCAACACATGCTAAAGACGTTTACAATTACAGACGTTTGTACGTAACGCTACACAAATAGTAGAACTAAAAGATCTTAGACCCGATGAAAAATTATATAAATTAGATGTCTAACTTTAATACGAAAAGTGAAGCAACTTATGCCCTTTTTATAAATGGCGGATTAAATTTGTAAACAAATTTTTATTTAACTTTTCTATTCTCAAATGAAGTAAATATCTTTAAATATAAATACTATTTATGTAAAAGTGTTAAGGGGAATTAGAATAGTTATAAAATGATAATTCATAATTCCTAAATTTATTTTCGATAAGATAGGGATTAAAGTTTTGAAAAAAGAAAAGTGAAAGGACAGACGCTTTTAAAACATTTTTATGAGTCAAAATACTTTTTTATAAACATCGGCTCATAAAAAAATTTTTATAAATATTTTATAATTATTAAAACGTGTTTTTGAATTATTTTTAATTGTTTGGAACTTTTGAGTTTCATATTTATTTTTTATTCCACACTTCGGCTTCAGTTTTTACCCTTTTACCAATAGTGGACGATATTCATAAAGAAAAAAGCAACATCATTTTTCTTTTTTTTTTATAAAATTCCGCTGGTTAGACATCTAGTTTGTATAATAGATCATTGCTTCGACCATTAAAAACTACTAGCTTTTCGGGCCCGTTAAAATACAGGTCTTCCTAGATCTTTTCCAATCCTATACTTTTTTCTTATATATCCTAGTTTTTCGGATCCGTAAAATACGGGTCTTTACCAAACCAACCATTTCTATGCATATCTATTCCACAACAATTATTTCTATACCTATTCCTTATTTACTTCAATATAACTATATAATATTCAATATAACAATATTCCTTATTTACTTCAATATAACAATTTTAGCAAAATAATTTATTCTGAAAAAAAAAATCAAGAGCAAAAAACTTAAAATGCACACCTTTTCCACATACCTAAAGCTTATTAGAGATTGATAATTCGGTTTGTTTTTCTGCTAAATTTATTTCATTTATAGTTCAGTCGTTTAGCGCGCTGTCATAAGTGCCTTTTCGAGGAGTTTAAGACCTCCCCTTAGCATAATAAGTTTTGAAATTTTTTCAATCTTGCTTATATATTTATGGCAAAAAAAAAATAATAATATAGCAAAAATCTAAAGTTAAGCCAATAAAATTTTGTACATTTACGTAAGTTTGTGGCAAAATAAACTTTTATACGTCAATTTTCCCTTTTGCATTTATCTAAAATTTTTCGATTCATTTTAAGGTACTTCTATACATTTTAAAAGGTAAAAATTTTTAAGTTTTCGTTTTTTTAATTAGAATTTTCTTGAGATCAAAATTTATTACAGAATCTTAATTTCTCATTGAAATTTGAAAAAAATAATAATAATAATAAATTGAGGTTATTTCAATTTATTTTAATGCAAGCTTAGATTTTTTACTCTTAGCGAAGCCCTTTAGCAACCATGTTATGGAATTATAACACTTCTATAGCAAGTTATTTCTGGTGCAATTCCGTCTCAATTTGTTTTCAATTATTCTCTATGCACTTAGCATAACTAAAAAAGAAAATTTTTTCTGAGAAATTAAGTCAATACTCTAGTTAAAATAATGCCTCTATGACAAACGGAAAATGTAAATGAGTGTTTAAATTGAACTATTTAGATACGCTGACCCAAATCTACTTAGTGTCGCAGAAAAGTTCTTACAATTGGTTCTTCCATCATAATTTTCAATGATGGTATTAATTGTATTAGAAATGTTTTTGGTTGTTTGAAAACTCCACGTGAGTTTTTTTCTGAAAAAGATACATTAAAAAGTGGCGATAATAGAGCTTTAATTCATTGTAAACAGTCATTTAATATTTAAAAAACACAAAGAAGAGTAAAGAGATCTGAGAAAAGAATTTATATTCAAAAATAAAACATTACAGGATGCGAATTCTATAATTTTGGATCCCATTGAGTTAGTTCTGTTTTGTTTTATGTTAATAAATATTATCACAGAAGGTGTTTTTTGTTGTTTTGGTTATTCCGTTTACATAATACCATTACAAATAGTTAATGAAACTACTAAAGTAACCATTTGAGCGGTCATGACCACTTTTAAAGACCAAATATGTTCAGATTTGAATTCCCTGACAGTAGTTACCCATATTTAGATATGCAACATGTCCCATCTAATTTGAAAACTAAAAATTTTAAAACATTTAATTTAATTGCGGCCTTAGTGTAGTGGTTAGAGCGCTTGGTTTAAAAGCATTAGCCTTTTTTAAACCTCGTTAGAACCTGGTTACTAATATTTACTCAAAGGGACATTTTTTTGAAGTGCAATATATGTTCAAACTACTATACAAACAATATTAATTAAACAACTACCAGAATTATCATAATAACTTTCTTTTACAATGGAAAAAACATGCAAAATTTATCAATTCATATTAGAAGAAGCTACCACGTGGTTAAAAAATCTGCAACTGCCTACTTCAGGCACAAAGGATGTACTTCTAAATCGAATTAAAAAGTTTAATAGATATCCGAACTTGCTCAAGAAAATTAAGAGCAGGGCTGGTAGGAATTTCAAATTTAAGTGCAGTTTAGGTTCTTCAATAATTCCACCGAATTCTGCGAAATGGGAAATAGAATACTCTAAAATGCCATTTGTTGACCAAAAGATATTAAAAAAATATTTGTTGCATAAAAACGAGGGAAGTATTGGCCAACAAGAAAAAGCTGCACGTATGTTTCAAAGCAAAAAAATAGTAAACGTTAAAGT